GTAGGTAGATTTCTTCATGGAGGGAGCACAAGAACAGGGACGGGCATTTGGTCTCCCATAGGAGTTCCCCCGCCCCGGGTTTCCGGCACCTAATGTTGAAAAATTCGCGCTTTGAATGAAGAGACCTTCCAAACAGTCTTTGTGTGAGCAACATGGCTATTTATTCAGCTGGGTGCAGGTGGGCTAAGGCTGAAAAGGGCATTAGCCAATCCTTCGGTTTTCTGTTAATTTATTCTATTACTTTCATCAGACATGTTCTAATAAGCTATATATTTTGGCTTATTCAGTTATAGCTTCTTTCTCCTCTTTACTCTTTTGGAAGACATTTTATTCTGTCATTCACATCTTAATAGCTCATTTGTAATTTGATTGTGAATATATTTAACTGATAAATTAATTTGATAATTTGAGCATTTTTACAATACTCAGCCTTGCCTTCCTGAACATGGTATACTACTATACTTCCTGAACCTAGTCTAAAGCAGTTTTAAAATGACCATTTCACACCATCATTCTCAGCTGATGCCTTGCCTCACACTTCACTAGAACAGAAGCAGTTGGTTCTGTTCCCTCATCAAATATTCTGCACACCTGTGCTTGCATGTACACTTCCTGTTTTCCCTCATTATAACTGCTTGAACCAGGAGGCGGAGGCTGCAGTGAGCTGAGATCACACCACTGTGCTCCAGCCTGGGCAACATAGTGAGATTCTGCCTCAAAAATAAAAATAAATAAAAAAATGAGAAGCCTTTCCATGACTCCAGTCCCCCTCAGTTACTGTAGCATTATTTTCAGCTTCTCTTGGCAGGAAAAAACAAAGGGAGTATCCATGCCCATTTTTCTCTTTTGCTGATCTTCTATTTATATCTTAACCCACTTTGAATCAAGCTCTGGTCTCTTTCTATGGATCTTTTTTTTTGTATCAAAATTATCATTAATGTGATAAATAAAATGTTCACCTCCATATTCTCCTCCATCAACCTTTCAGCAACATTGATATAATTGACCACATCCTTCTGTTGGGAAATTTTTCTTCTTTTGGCTTCTAGACACCACACATCCCTGGCTTGCCTCTTTAATCCCTACCCTTTTTTTGCCTTATCTTTTTCTTTCTGAATCTTTCCACATTCAGATGATACTAATATGGAATTCCCTGTCTTCTCAATCAAGAATCGTTTCCTAATTTCATCCACTTATATAGATTTAAATTCTGTCCATATACTTTTGAGTCCCAAAGACCACACTACTTGCATAATGCAGACTTATATATCTAATTGACCACTTCCTACTAATAGAAATTTTAAACTTAAAGTATAATTTTGATTCATCACCCTACTGATCTGTTCTTCCCTCAATTTGTTCCACCTAAATCAATAGCATCACCATCCACACATGTGATCAAACTGAAAACTTAAATATAAACACTGTTTTCTCTCTCTGCCTTACCACATTAACAAGTAAATCCTGTGGGCTTCATGTATACAATAGATTCCACATATGTGTACTTCTCTTGGTTTCCCCTGCAAATGTCTCAGTCCAAGTCACCATAACTTGTTTACTGTTGCTCCATGATACATTCCTAATAGGTCTTTCTTTTTCCACTCTTGCCCCAAGATAATCTTTTTTTTACCCCCTAGTACATAGACTGATCTTCATAAATATAAATCAGGTCAAGCCTTTCCATACAGATGCCCATCATCTAGTTTCTGCCAACTTTTCAGCCCAAGTCCGAACCTGTGCTCCCTGACCCTCACTCTAATCTCAACCCATTGACCTCTTTGCTGTTCATCATATAGTCCAAAATTGTTCCTGCTTTAGGGCCAATTAGTAGCTATTCTCCTAGCCTGTGATCTCTGTTAAAGCATGTTTTAGTACTTCACAGTATTTAGTTCTCATCTTAAATGTTAACTTCTCAAAGAAGTTACCAATGCAGGTAGCACGCACCCAAACCAAAAGGCATTATGGCACACTTCGTTTTATTGTCTTCATTGCACTTATCATTATATTAAACTTTCTTTTTTTATATTTTAGTTTACTTGATTACTCTCTGACTTTACCCTCCAAAATGAAAGCTCCTTGAGAGCATGAACTATGCTTTGTGTTTGTCGTTGTTTTTTCTCCATAAAATCTAGGAATACCTGTACCATAATATCTATAATAACAATGTGAAAATTATATGAGCATGAGAGTGTGTGTGTGTATGTGTGTGTGTGTGTGTGTATCTCTTTGCTGAAGAAATAGAGGACTATGCCATGATCCTAAATAAAAATACTTATTTTTTATTTCAGGATGTTAATATTTTGGTAAATAACCTATAAATTCTATATATGAAATCAAAAACATCATGGCATATTAAAAAGTGGACTTTGACAAGGTGAAAAGTAGAAAGGTTGAATTGAATGATAAAATACCGTGGAAAATAATTGATTCACTGCCTCTTACCCCTACAATATACCTCTACCTGGTTATCTCTTTGTTAGTCAGTTCTTGAGCACAGTTGCTTGAGCCTAGAGGTTTGAAGCTGTAGTGAACAATATATCTGCCTCTCCATTCCAGCCTGGGGTGACAGGGTAAGACCCCATCTCAAAAAAAAAAAAAAAAAAAAAAGGATAATGAGATAGTGAGAAAGAATCCAGGACAGAACCATTCAGTTCTCAACTTAAAGGATGCCTTCTCTGGAATGCATTCTGTATCTTTGCTAAAAGTCTATAACTATGTGACTCCATCATTCTGTTGCAATAATGTTTGCCAAGATCAGTAATGACATAACTGACAAATTTAGTAGGCTTTTATTAATACATGAAACTCCTCAGACATTTAGAAATATTTTCCAAAAGGTCTCTTTTCTTTTTCTTTCTAATTATCTGAGTTTTTATTTTTATTTTTTAAATTGTACTTTAGGTTCTGGGGTACATGCGCAGATCATGCAGGGTTGTTGCATTGGTACTTAATGGCAAGGTGGTTTGCTGTCTCCATCCCCCATCACCCACATCTGGCATTTTCCCCCATGTTATCCTTCCCCAGCCTCCCCACCACCCGCTGTCCCTCCCTTAACGGCCCCCCACAACAGACCCCAGTGTGTGATGCTCCCCTCCCTGTGTCCATGTGTTCTCATTGCTCAACACCCGCCTATGAGTGAGAACATGTGGTGTTTGATTTTCTGTTCTTGTGTCAGTTTGCTGAGAATGATGGTTTCCAGATTCATCTGTGTCCCTACAAAGGACACGAACACATTGTTTTTCTATGGCTGCATAGTATTCCAAGGTCTCTTGTCACTCCTGTCATGCTTTTATTTGGCTTTTCCTCCTGAATTTCTGATTCTTGCTGCTCCAGGCTTGATTAGCTACTCTTCACTTTCCCAGAAATGTTGGTAACTCCAGGGTTCTGTCCTGGATTCTTTCTTTCTTTCTTTTTTTGAGGTGGGATTTTGCTCTGTCACCCAGGCTGCAATGCAGTAGTACAAATATTACTTACTACAGCCTCAAACTCCTGGACTCTTGGACTTCTGGACTAAAGCAGTCCTCCCAACTCAGTCTCTCAAGTACTTCTTTCCCATTATCTTTCTGCAATGTCAAGTCTCATCCAGGATTGCATTACAGATTTAAACTAGGATCTTTCAATAATTATACATATATATTTATGTGTATGTATGTGTATATATACACATATATATGAAGCTATATATATACACACACATCTCTCATATATGTCTATACACACATACGTATATGTATACTTATACACATATATGCATAATTACATATGTGTATACATACATATATATGAGTAGGTGTGAAGTTAGAAAAATATTGAGCTATAAGGTTCATATATATATGTGAGAGAGAGCACATCCATCTTCATCACTCTTACGGTCTGCTGTAGGACCAGGTACCTGCATTTTAATGAAACCACCTATACATTTGGTTTTCTGGTTAAAATTTGTCATACATCTTTAAGAGTATTAAATTGCATTTCATTTATTTAACATCCAAATTTATTTCTGTAGTCCATATCTCTTTCCCAAACTCCAGCTCTATTCATTAATTCAGGTCTATTTCTTGAGCAGCAATGGCTGCACATTTTATTACAGCGGTAATATAGAGTTCAGCAAAATGGTCACATGGAGTTTACAATCTATGGAAGATTCAAACTTAAGCAAATAATTGCATCCATCATTTATATTAAAAGTTATCTTATTACCTAAAAAACAGCATAAATGTTTTCATGTGTTAAGAATCACCTGGAACCTGTTATAAATGGAAATTCTTGGGATAAACTGCCCCACCCTATCCTGTACTGAGAAACATTTTTAACAAGCTATCTAGGCATCACTGTGGGTCATGTTATGCAAAATTACCACTTACATTATGAAGCTCAAACGCCTTTCCTGTGGTTTCTAAGGCATAAAAAGTGCCCCAGACTTCCTTTTCTTACATTTATCTTCAGTTTTCATCACCATCTCACAAATCCTCTAATCTTCAGTTTTCTCAGAATTACATGCTGGGAATTCTTTAGTATTGAACTCAAGGCACTTCTCAATTTGCACCTTTTGTCTTACTTTTTAGCCTTATATCTCACTATTTTTCTAACTTTACACGTACTCTTGGAAAAATTCTACCATCTGTTACTCCTCTGATGTGCTCTCTTTTCAATTTCAGAAATTGTTAAATTTAGAATCCAAGGCCATGTTAGAAATATGACACCATAAAACTTTGTTTTTTATATGTCTATCCCTAGCTTCATAAATGTACCTAGGATATGTAATACGTGTTCAAAAGATGTTGGCAGAAGTATGTTCTCATATTTGTGATAGTTATATTTATTAGTACTTTGGTATTGTTGTATAGTTATATTCCTACTTGTTTTAATTTCCTTATTAGCTTGTATGGGCCAGGAGAGAAGTGACTGTCCATCCATCCATCCTTCCTTCCGTCCCTCCGTCCATTCGTCCTTCCATCCTTCTTTCCTTCCTTCCTTCTTTCCTCCCTTCCTTCCTCATTCTTCCCCCTCCTTTATTTTTTCCTTCCCTTACATTTTCTTTTCTTCCTTTTAATTTATTTCCTGTGTCTACTAAGGTGCCTTGCTCTGAATAGGCAATTTGTTGAATTGCCTTTTTGAGAAGATATAGGAAAAGAGAAAAAAAAAGTGAAATGGAAAAAATTAACAAGAAAATCACTTCTCTCCAAATCCCTAAAATGGTCATCATAATTATTTTGTAGTTACTCTCCTGAGAGCCCCTTTGACATCCTTGTTCCTTAAACTATAAATGATGGGGTTCAGCATAGGTGTCACTGCTGAGTAGAACACAGAGATCATTTTATCCCTTTCATTCATTATCTTGGAGTTTGGCCTCATGTAAGCAAATATTGCTGAGCCATAGAAGAGAACAACAACAATGAGATGGGAACCACAGGTAGAGAAGACCTTCAGCCTTCCCTCCCTGGACTGCATCTGGATCACGGTGGAGATAATATTCCAGTATGAGACAAGGATGAGGGAAACAGGAGCCAGGAGGATTACCACGCCCATTGCAAAGATGGCCATTTCTGTGCTATAAGTGTCTGCTGAAGCCAGCTTCAGGAGGGCAGGAGGTTCACAGAAAAAATGTTTAATGATATTACTTCCTTGGTAGGGTAGACGCAATGTGAATGTGGTGTCCACCAGAGACACAAATGCTCCACTGGCCCAGGACCCTATAGCCAGCTGGACACATACCCAATGTGTCATAATGGTGGAGTAGTGCAGGGGCTTGCAGACAGCCACGTACCGGTCATAGGACATCACTGCCAGCAGTGCACACTCTGTACATCCAACCAGAAGTAAGACAACAATCTGTGTTGAGCATCCAGCAAAGGAAATGCTTTTCTTCTTCACCAGGAAGTGGATTAGCACCTGGGGGACAGTGGTAGTAGAAAAACAGAGATCGGCAAAGGACAAGTTTCTAAGGAAAAAATACATAGGTGTGTGGAGCCTGGAGTCGATGTGAATGAGTACAATGATCAGCAGGTTTCCCAGCACAGTGAGCAAGTAGATAATCAGGAAAACGAAGAAAAGCAGAACTTGTGTCTCTGGATCCTGTGAAAGGCCCAAGAAGACAAATTCATTCACATAGGTTTTGTTCTCTTCTCCCATCAATGTTTATTCCTGTTTATAGGTCAGCAACAAGAAAAGGAACACATATTAATCAATTATTTAAAAACTCCAAGTAACGTATGTATTTTATTAATCAGAGTCCAAAATTGAGCTATTGATTTTTGTCTCTTAATAGCTTCCACATGAAAAAAAAAAAAAAAACAAAAAACCTGCATTCTCTTTTTGCTCAATAGCTCTGACAATTAAAAACCATTTCTGATATTTTCCCTTTGAATCTTTTAGGAGCACCTTAGGGGAGAAATCATCCTGAGTGGGCTACATGACCAAGCCTTGACTGGACCACCTAATGGTTTAGAGTCCTTAGTGATGTCTTCAGCACTTATTACAGTGCATCCTTCCTTTTATGTAGGTTTGGGAAGCAAACAAAATGATTTGCTTTAAACCAATTAGCAATATACTGTAAACTGTTTTTTATACTGTAAACTGTTTGACATTTATGAAGGATGATTTTTAAAAATTATGTTAGCAAAATGATCCTAATGAAGCACTCTGAGCAGCGGTGGAAAATTAGGATTAGGGTAAAGGAAAATGTCATAGTCTGTGATCCTGTCCCTTGTCCAAATTCCCCTGTCGTTTATTTTCAACACATAAAGGGTGCTGAGGCACATCAATAAAAATAGCTGCTTCACTAAGAGTTGTGCTCAATAACATCGTTAAAATATCCCCTAATCTGTCCTCTGTATTCCTTTTTTTTTTTTTTTTATTTCCTCCTCTTGGCCCTATAGGACTGTTCTCCAGGCTTTCTGGACAGAATAAAACATCCCTTTTTTTTTCTGCACAGGGTCTCTGGCAATAATGACACTAATTATTTTGTATTGGGCATTCTCCTGGCATTAGTCATTATTGATGTTTGTTTGTTTGTTTTTTTGCATTCACTGAAAAAAATCCTCTTTAAGTAAATGAGGTAGTTATAATGATCTCCATTATACAATTGATGAGACAAAGGCTCACAGAAATTCTCAAACTTGTTCTTGTGAACCCTACTCATTATTTCTGTATTCTGCAATTATTTTTTTCTTCCTCAAAAACTGCTTGCAGAGTTTAAGCTTTTTTACACAGTTCTATCTCTGACATCCATTTCTGAGAGACAAGCCCACACAGTGTCTCCATTTCTATGATTTTAGGACTAAGCCACAATAACAGAGTGGTCAATAGGCACAAAATAACAGTTAAGCATATTTTAACAGTTATTTTTCAACACTTCTAGAGGGTCTTATCTGCTGGGCAATAGGAAATATTAAAGGAATAAATATGGAGAGAAGTGACAAACATTATTTGCAGATAATTTGATTATATATCTTGAAAGAACCAAAGAGCCAATTCAGCACATAAAGGGTAACTGATAACTGACTGGAAATTCGGTTTGATGCAAGATGAGCAACAAAAAACTCTTGTGTTACTATGTACCCAATATAACCAAATAAAAATTAAAGCAAAAAGAATTCTTTTGGAAAAGGAACAATACCTATATTTAACAAGGTATGCACAAGAAAGATCCAAGACCTATTTAAAGTGTGAAACATGATATCTGAATAGATAAATAGATACATTGATTTTATAAATAGAACCACAAGGTCTTATAAAAAATTCACTGTAATTCCAACCATATTTACAGAGAATTTTTATAAAGGAATTTAACATATTTATTCCAAATTTTATCTAAATAATTCAATTATAAAACATTGTAAATTTCCTCATTAATATAATGAATACTGAATAGACATAAAAAATTTAAGCAATAAATATAGTGTAGGAACATATCTCATTATATTTGGAAATTTAATACATGATAAATGTGGCATCCTAAATAAATGTAGTTCTTTAAAAAAAGGACAATTACTTCTTCACTTTAAAAATTTTTTTACATATGTATGTATATCCATGTGTATACACACATAACATAAATATAAGCAATAATTCAACCCAAATGTATTGAATTTTTTTTAATTCAGTTTTTTTTGGTGGGAATGGAGATTGGTATAGCCATTATGGAAAATAGTATGGAAGTTTCTAAAGAAATTAAAAATGGAACCACCATATGACCCAGCAATCTGTCTTCTGGGCATATACCAAAAAGAAATGAAGTCACCAGCTAGTAAAGATATCTGCTCTCCCATGTTCAATGCAGTATTATTCACAATAGTCAAGATATGAAAACAATCTGTTTGTCAATGGAGAAAATATACACAGACACACACACACACACTCTTACACAATGGAATACTACTCAGCCCTAAAAAAGAATCAGATCTTGCCATTTGTCACAACATGACCAACCTGGAGAATATTATACTAAATGAAATAAGCCAGACACAGAAAAAAATATAGTGTACGATCTCACTTGTATGTGGAATCTAAAAAGCAAAAATTAAATATACAGAGATAGAAAACAAAACAGTGGTTAACAGGGACAGGGCTGGGGTTGGAGGCAGAAATGGGAAGATGTAGGTTGGAGGGTAAAAGGAACAGATATGTAGAGATCTAATGTACAACATGAGGACTATCAGTAATAAAATTGTATTTGAGATTCATGCTGAGAAGATTGTATCTGCTCTTGCCATAAACATGAAAAATGGGTAACTACATGAGATAATGTATATGTTCATTTACTTCACTAGGTTAACTTTTTTACTTATTTATATATTAAAATATATTTCATACATAAAATATATTTTAATAAATATATTTTATAAATAAAATATAAATAAAAATATAAAAATTATAAATATATTATATTAAAATATATTATTAAATATAATATATAATATAAATATATTTATAAATATAAAAATATATATTAAAATAATTATAAATATATTATTATAAATAATATATTTTATAAATAAAATATATTTTAGTAAAAGCTTTATATAAAACATTTAGTCTGTTTTTCTATCTGTCTAGCTAATTATCTATCTATCTATCTCTCTAATTTCTGGATGGTGAAAGCTTTTCTAAACAAGTATCCAAAGAAATCATAAAGGAAAATGCTAACAACTTTACCATTCATAAGTCAGATTTCTATGTAGTAGATGCCACTATAATATAAGTAAAATAATCTGGGAACATATTTGCAAACAAAAAGACTTTAAAATTATTTTTAATAAATAAAGGCCTCTTAAAAATTAGTAATGGGCAGGGAATGGTGGCTCACACCTGTAATCCCAGCAATTTGGGAGGCCGAGGTGGGTGGATCACAAAGTCAGGAGTTCGAGACCAGCCTGACCAACATGGTGAAACCCCATCTCTACTAAAATCACAAAAAATTAGCCAGATGTGGTGGCACGGGCATGTAATCCCAGCTATGCAGGAGGCTGAGGCTGAAGAATCACTTGAATCCAGGAGGCAAAGGTTGCAGTGAGCTGACAGAGCAAGATTAAGCACTACAAAAAAAAAAAAAAAAAAAAAAAAAGATTAGTAATAAAAGACCTATAACTCATTATGCAAGGACTTTAATTCCTGTCCACAAAATAGATAAAACTGAAAAATGAACATGAAACAAGAACATGTACATTAATACAACAAATGAGATATAATATTTATAATATTTTGCCTTTTAGCTAAAATTTCAAAGGATATTTCTTTTAAGTTTGATAATATAGCAAGATTACTATGATAGATTATCAAGTGAAAAGCCATCATACTTTATATGTGATATATCATTTTAAACTTTTAAATGAAGTGTAAATGGGTATGTTTGGGTACATATGGGTATTTGTGGGATGTTTATATTTCTACAGATGTTTCTCCTGCAATGAAAGTCCACTCATCATGAGCCGCTATTGGCTGTAAGGGGGCAGCACAGCTCACTGATTAGCTCTGGAGGTTCTGAAGCTGTACTGCAGGTTTGAATTCTGGCTTCTCTAGTTGATGTTTGGCCAACAGCAAATTACTCAGCTTTTCTGGGCCTAGCTTTCTTCATCTGTAAAATGCTGTTGTAAGTAATACATATCTAATAGTGTTCACATAAAGATTAAATAAAATATAAACCATTTACTTGTCAGTAAACAAGCCTAGCTCATTATATTATAAAATATAATTATAAAAATGGGATCATGATCTAGAAGTAACTAAAAATTATGAAAATAGCCATTAAGCACAAAGCATAGTAACACATTGTTGATGTGTTTGAGTGAGGAAGATGATTATTGTCATTATTTTGACCCTTATCTTTTTAAAATTTTTTGTTTATCCTTTGAGATTGGAACTGTATTGCTAGCAAAATTCAAAGTCAAGGCCAAATATGGTAAGAGAGAATGAGAGGCATCTCATTCTCTCTCTATATAAGCATATAGAATAAAGGGCAAGGGTAAGCACTGGTTAATTTAATCAGATTAGTCTCTCTTTTTTTATTTTGTTCAATTTTCAAACATATAAAGTGTAAAAAAAAACAAAACAAAACAGTAAACTAAAATCTCAAGTACCTAACAATAAGACTCAAATGTGCTGATCAATTTTGCTTAGTTTATTAGAGTTTGATTATAATAACAAAATATATTTAAAACAACTCCTTTATTGTTAAAGGTCTAAAAATTAAGATTGTCATATAAGTCTAACAATAGAACCTAAGCTTTCCCCAAAATTAAAAGTTAAAAAATAACCATACATAGGATTCATAGAAATTCAGTATTAAGCTGTAGCAGAAAAGTTTGTATACATGGCTTGTAGATTCACAGAAAATAAACTGTTAATAGTGATTACCTCCAGGGAAGTGGAATTCTGTTGGGAACAGGGAAAATAGCTGGAGGGAGACTTTCCTTTTTTAATGCATATCTATATTGTTTTATTTTATAACCTAGATTGCATTTTTTAAGCAAAGAAAGAAAATTAAAATGATTTAAAATAAGTACATTTAAAAATAAAATATGAATAAATTATAATGATGATAGAATACAGACAATATAAACTGTAACTAACAATAACGATAATGTTAGAGTGTTGCAAAAACAGAAAGACAAATCGTTGGATCAGAGTAGACA